GTATGTGACGGACATGAAAGAGTCTGGAGAAGCTGTGGTGAATGTTATGCCACCTGCAACATCATCCACCATGAACAGTTTAGCGGTGGGTCAGTGATGTGGTAGCTAGTCATACCCTAACTGCTGTTAGGTACTCAGCCATTGTCAGACTTTATGCTGGTGCAGTGGGCCCTGGGTTCATCCTGGTGTGGGACAGTGCCCAGCCTCATGTGGCCAGTGTGTGTAGGCAGTTACTGGATGACGAATGCATTGATGCCTTTGACTGACCCTTACATTCTCCAGACCTGAATCCAACTGAGAACCTGTGGGATGTTATGAGTGCACCGAATGCCACCAAATAGCGCCACAGATTGTCCAGGAGCTCACTGATGCCCTGATCCAGGTCTGGGAGGAGATTCTAGGACACCATCCGCCATCTCATCAGGAGCAAGCCCAGATGTTGTTGTGTGTGCATACAGGCACCTGGGGGCCATACGATTCGATGTGTGATTAAGTGTTCCCTTAATGTTTAAAGTTTAATGAAACCATAGCATTGTGCAGGAGTTAGGTGAGTCAGTTGACTGTTTTAGTACCACACTTCATTGCCTGCCGGAACATTGAGGATATGGAGCGCTGTATGATGAAATGGTGAGCGACAGACTAGTTGGGCTAAGATACACAAAACTGCCAGAATAGGTACAAATGGACTCTGAATTAACTCTGAAGGTCCTTGGATGACAGAAATAAAAATGGATCACTGCAACATTGTGTGTAAAATAGACATGGGGCAGAAATAATGGCAGGTACGACCAGCTCATGAAGGCCTTAAAGGGTCCAGGAGGAAGGCCACTAAAGGTTAATGGTAAATTCACAGCCACAGTAAAGTAAGCACAAAAAGTACATCACAGGAAGTATATGTTGTGGGGAAGCCAGCCACACCATTATTAGGCTATTCAGCTGCCATAGTATTGCAGTTGGTAACTAGGCTGGACACTGTCAATCTAGACTCAGAAGAAGCAGTAAAAATAGAATTCTCAAAGCTATTCAACAGCCTAGGGAAGATGCAGAGAGAGTATAGCATTGTTCTGAAACCAGGTGCCAAACCCATTTTTCTCTCCACCCCTAACAGCCTTTCCCTCCCTCTCCAATCCAAGGGTTAAAAGAGAATTAAACTGCAAGGAGTAATGGCGTGCGCCTATGGAGGTGGTATGCAGGTTAACAGGCAAGGTGAGAATATGCACTGACTTCACAGAAACAAACAAATCGGTCATGAGGGAGAGGCATCCACTTCTCTTGGTAGAGCACACACTGGGACAGCTGGCAGGAGCCAGCGTTGAGGCAAAGGTTCTGGCAGATTCCAGTTTCCAAAAAGTGTTCACTACTTAACAGCTTTCATAACACCATTTGAACAGTGCCGCTTGTGCTTTGGAATCTCCTCTGCTTCAGAGCACTACCAGTGCATAACAAATCCTGGAGGGCCTTTTGTGTCAGATGGATAATGTGATCATCTGGGGAGCCACGCAACAGCAGTATGATGAGAGGCTATGCACAGCGTTGTCGGGACTCCAGGAGGCCCAGGTCATGCTCAATGAAAAAGTGAAAGCAGTGAAGGCCATGTGAGAACCCAGTATCATCAATGAAGTGAGAGGACTGCTGGGAATGATAAATCATCTGGGTAAATTTCTACCAAATCTGGCGGAGACCTGTTAAAGTCAAATATGTGGGCTTTGGGGTCCCAACAGCAGGAGGCCTTTGATAAAATCAAAAGGGAACTAACAACACCATCTAGGCTGGCACTATACGATTCGAATACTGAAACACTGGTCTCTACTGATGCTTCGTCATATGGGTCGGGCACCATTCTCCAAAAAAAGAGACCAGATCAAGCATGGAAACCAGTAGCATATGCTGTGCATATGTAGAGCTATGCCCAAATTGAGAAGGAGGCGCTGGCCTCCACATGAACCTAAGAAATTTGCAGAGATTCTTATAGGGAAAAATTAGGACAGACCACAAACCATTGGTCCCCCTGTTGGGCTCAAAAACAGTAGATGCACTCCCACCGCGAATACCGTGTCTCAGGATGAGAATGATTAGGTTCTCATACATGATTTTGCATGTGTCTGGAAAGAATATTGCAACAGCAGACATGCTTTTTGGAGTGCCTGTAAGCTGCACAGTGGATGGACAACAAGAGGAAGAAATAAACCTCTATGTCGACACTGTCATAGCAAGTCTGCCAGCTACAGAGCATAGGCTCAGAGAGATCCAAATAAATCAGGGCATTGACTATTTTTCAGAAGCAATGATCCAGCACTTCAAATGAGTCTTAGCTCATCATGGAATTCCAGAGGTTGTGTGTTTGGACATTTTTCATTGGATTGCTTCCAAAACTTTGCACAAGACTGGGGATTTAGCCACATGATGTCCATTCCTTAGTTCCTGCACAGCAGCAGGGAGGCAGAGAGAGTGGTAAAAACAATCAAAATCTTGTAAAAAGGTCGACCAATCCCTGCTGCGCTGCTCCACTGGCCACTGAACTTCTGATGGGAGGCAAGATTAGAACGCCTGTTCTTGCCTGACTGGGTCATAACATTAAATCTAGAATGTCATTATGTCAGTTGGCCTCCTCTCATCTCTCGAGATGGCCTGCACATGGTAGCTCCTAGACTGTTTTTCTTTAAAATAGCCCAGGGGTAAATGGAGGACTTTTATTTTTAAGGGAAATTAAAGGAGGTTATTAGTAACCTGCATCTGTGAATGCCATATTAATGCTGAACATGTTTTGGGGACATAATGCTGCCTCCTAGATGCCTTTTTTCCAGGGGCACACATATTTCAACATGACAACTATTAAAACAAATATTGTGTTCTTGTATCATTTTCACATTCACATTGCTGTTTCTATTATCATTTCACACATTTTCCCAACTTTTTTGGATTTGGGTCTGTACTTGCATCTGGTAACCAGGGCATGTTGGTTTAAAAGTATATTGTATTAAATTACAAGGCTTTATGACAATGAAGTGCATATGTTACCCAAGTTTCATTGGCTGAGGCATAAACATAAAAGCTAATGCTAATGAAGTAAATAAAGACATCAGTTACAACACTGCCATTATGTTCCATTACAATTGTAAAACATTCTGGTGAGAAACAAAAGCTGAAAATATCAATTCAGGATGAATATATGTAAAATAAATTTTACTGCAGAATTGAATGGTTGCTGAATCAATAACTTTTACAGTGAAAAAGTGTTCTGTGGTCCGACGAATTAAAATTTGAAATTCATTTTGGAAATCTTTTTAGAAACACTAAGTCCTGTGAAAGAACCATCAATGCTGAATAATATATATAGGTCTTGGAGCAACATATGCTGCCATCTAGACAACGTCTTTTTCAGGAAATGCCTTGCTTATTTTTTTCCAAGATAATGCCAAACCAAACTGTGCATGTATTACAACAGCATGGCTCTGTAGTAAAAGAGTAGGGGGCTAAACTGGCCTGCCTGCAGTCTAGACCTGTCACCCACTGAAAACACCTGGCGCATTATGAAATGAAAAATATGACAAAGGAGACCCAGAACTGTTGAGTATCTGAAATCCTATATCAAACAAGATATAAAAACAAGTGTTGTTAAAAGAAGAGGTGATGCAACACAGTGGTGAACATGCCCCTGTCCTAACTTTTTTGAAACGTTGCTGACTTCAAATTCAAAATGGGCATGCATTTTTCAAAAACCAATAACATTTCTCAGTTTCAACATTTGATATGTTGTATTTGTACTATTTTCAATTAAATATAGAGTTTAAATTAGGGCTGCACGAGATGAACATAAAATGTGATGTTCGATTAAGTTGTCGGATATCACAATGATGATACGAGAAACAAACTATTAAAGTAATGTGTCTCTGACTGGATGTCACGCAAGTGCAGACATTTTTGTAGGATGTGTAAACAGAAATCTAAATAACCTCTCTTTAAACCCCTCTTAATACAAAATTACAAAAGCATCATTTACTATGCTGTAAAAGAAAAAGAAATGAAATGCTAATAACTACTTATATCAAAACTGCAAGCACTGCAATCCTTTGCGCACTGAAGGGTGGAGAAACAGCCAGCACTACCTCAACAGCTTTTTCTATAAAGGCCACAGAACCAAATATATTTATTAAATAGACACACAAGAACAAATACATATTCTTGTTTCATTTTATTTATTTATTTTTGCGTATTTATTAAATATTGTGGCATCGGAAACACTGGGTTGTATTTAGTTTAAAATAACGTTGTTCATGCTTTTTGTTGAGTGTCGTTAGACACCATGTTCTACATTGGTCTGGGACTCAAACTTCCTTAGCCCAGTTGGCAAGCAGAAAACAGTAGAAGCTGAGCTAGCCTGTGTGCTGCGTGTTTTCCCCGTTGCTGCATGCTGTTTTGAGCTGAATTTCCATTAAAGCTCAGTTATGGGTCGATATTTTAAGATCTCTGAGTGTATGTTTTGTAGTTGGCTGTTTGGCCAATGGTTAAGTTACTTGTCTCCCATGTGGGAAAGCAGTATACAGTCCCAGTGCAGAGAAGCAGGCTTGTAATTGTTTGTGCTGTTAACGTAATGATGTCTCTCTGGCACAGCGTGTATGAGGTCATTAGATCTGCTCGGTCATCGCGTCTCTAATGATGTGTTTATCATGAAAACTCATAACGATAAAAATATGATTTATCATACAGACCTAGTTTAAATGATTTGCTATCATTACATTCTGTTTCTATTTTAAAAGGTGCTGTACTCACCCTACTTATTTTTATTGCTATTTTTATTAAATCTTCACCATAATCCACTGGTAACAAAATTAAGCTATGCACCAATTTATGACTGCTTACTGCAGTGAAGCCGCTTCAGTAGGATTTTTGTTCATTTGCATAGTATTTAACTCGGCCAATAGTACATCTTTTCCCTGGCATACGGTTCTAGCCCCTTATCTCCCCCCACCCCCACCTCCCCCAAAAATAACTCGACACTAGTGCACTGACAAATGTTTCTACTTTTACTGACAGGTTGTATGTCCTTGCTCCTTGCTTCCATATTCCTGTCATAAGATCCAAGGTTAACTCTGAACTAGGAAGAGAGCACGCTCACACAATTGTATTTGGACAGCGTGTGAACTGAGGTAATTTTTGGAGAACTGGGAGTTCAGCTGTTGTGAAACTTGGCAAGAGCAGAGCAACATATTTCCAGAGTCAGACAGCAACTTTGATGTGAAATTGAAGGTAAACCAAGTTTAGCTCCATTTTATTGTTCACTGTCTTGCATGCATCAGTGTACTTTGGTAAATTAGTTTGCTTGTGTTCTTCTATTATCACTTTCAGTAAGAAATCATGTGGGAAGTATATTTAAGTGTTAAATTGGTCTATGGGTTATTTCAAAGTGGTGTTGATATGCGCCCTGAGTCCAATAGATGTGTTAGAAACCCTATGGAATAGTTTAATTTTTATTACCAAACTATTTACTGCCTGTTTATGATGATATGTTTTATTTTCCATGCTTTTAAGAGGAAAAATAACACTTTACCATAATTAACTATGACCTGAGGACTGGGAAACAGTTTGGAAAGGATTTGTGTACACAGCAGCTGCCTGCACAGGTCTGTGAAAGGGCATTACTCCCTCAGTTAATTGCACTTATTTGAGTGTCAGTGCCATCTGCACCCCTATCCCATTTCTGGATTCAGTAACAACAGTGTAGCACTGGTGAAAGCTCTTCACAATCTGTGCGCTGTGCAAAATTGCTTGATATGTTCTCAGCAGAGATGTTTTACATACATACACACACACTTGTAGCACAGTATGAATAGTAAAGCTCTTAAGATGAAAAAGATTATTTTAGATAAAAGGCCTAGATACATATGTTTTAATGTTTTAATGTTTTAAGTGTTTGCAGGTCTCACTGCAGTTTTGTGTCCAGAAGTACTGGGCAAATATAGTGTGAACGGTGATATTTACTGGTATAAGGGCTTCCAGTTACATTGGCTGAGTGCAAACAACAGGGCCATATCTGTATTAATTCAATCAGTGTTAATTCAAGCAGCAAATAAGACCCTTGCAGAAAAAAGCCAGTCAGTCAGAAATATGACACAGGCACTGGCCAGGGCCAAATCAACAGTCTGTATGTAGTTCCAACCATGGACCGCTGAACGAGGAGAACGTGCAGTCATTTCATGAAATTTTAAACTTTTTGTCATATAACAATGAACATATGATAACAGCACTGTTTAATGCAAAAACGTTTGCTTTATAAGTACTTTTTGGTCACCAAATTACCACCCCGAGTCTTTTTTAGCACCAATCCAGTGACACCCCTCTTCTCGTACTGGGACTGAATCTCAAATGGCTCCCTGCTCCCTACATAGTGCACTACGTAAGAAATAAATACTGGATTCTGCACCCAAACGGTGCAAAATATAGTTAAGAAGTAATCATTTTGGACTCAGCCACATTCCATCTTCTATAAATGATGCACTATTTGGCTATAGAGGCTAATGTTAGAATTTCTAAACTTAAATAGCTAGCACACTATTTAGAGAGTATGGAGCCATTTGGGATTCAGCCTGGATTTGACACTACTTCTGACTGAAACACGAGCATTTAAAGCGTGTAATTCATACAAGTGACATTTTTTTAGACTTTTATACTGCTGTTTTACAGTTAATCATACCGTAAGTTCTTCATTTCAAGCCCATGATATTAATGGTGGAGTTGTTTAGGCTGTTAGGCTGTATCTTTTAGCCTGTTAGCTAGCTGACCAGCCTAGTTCTAGTCAAGAACGTAAGTTGCCAGCCCCTCAGTTTAAACAAAAAACAGGTTCTTACTTCATCAATATACTCGGAGGTCCATGCGAGCAGCATGAGAGTCAAAGATTATTCCATTAACAGCACAAGGTTTTTTTTTCATGCAGTGGCTTAGTAATTTACAATCCAGGTGTGAGGCGGTCATAGATGTGAATATAATGTGGATTTTACAACGCCTTCAGATTTTAGGACTGGAACTATCCGTTTTATAAATATAAGATATAAGATTTTGTAGATATAGGTTACACATATACACATGTGGTCATTTGTTAAAGTTAAAATAGTAAAAATAAGTACATAGAAGACACTTCTACAAGTTACTGTTTATTTGCTGAGTTTAACAAGTTAGTAAAAAACAAATATATAAACAAAACATAAAACATGGCCTGTGTGCTTGGTGGATGTGTTTTCTCAAATAAAAATGATAATGCAATGTTTAGTGGGTTGAATGTTTATTATAGTTCCTGTAGGCAGTTAATTTGCTTTCACTATATTGTGCCAAAACTTATGTTCAGTCTGACCTGTACTTCAGACAGGCTAGCTCTCTGTTTGTTTTATACTTCAAAATGGTGCTATATTACAGGCACCAAGAGGGTGATCAGAAAAATCTCTGAAAAATTGTTTGTTTAATTTTGCAGAGCTTGATTTGTGAAAATTTGCCCTCCCTAAATATTGGCACCCCAGTAAACATGAGAAAAACAGGCTATAAAACATTCTTTATTGGTTATCCTTTTGATCTTTCATTTAAAATTTAAAAATCTAACGTTTACTAGACATTCAAAGTACAGCGTACAAAGAAAAAAAACGAAATATCATAAAACAAATATATTCTCAAATCTATGAGTGTCATAATTGTTCGCACACCTAGAAGTTCTTATGAGTGAAATCTAACTGAACATATTTCTATTAATATTTTATGTTTTAAAGTTCACATAAGCAATTAGGAACACTAAATGGTCAGAAGTGGCTTCCTGTTTTACTGGGTCAATTTCCTTAGTTTTCCATCACTATGAGAAAGACAAGAGAATCAGCACTGATATGGTTAAAAATGGTTAAAAATGCCCATTTTGGCTATCAAGTGCAATATTTAAGAAGCTTAAAGGAACTGGAGACGTTAACACTCTGGAAGGAAGAGTACTAATGTCTATATTCATTGCACCCTTAGTGAGGAGGATGGTTTGAGTGGCCAAAGAACCTTCAACAATCACAGCTGGGGAACTGCAAGTCTTGAGGTCAGCACATCTCTCAAACTACAATCAAATGGCACCTATATAACCACAAGTTGTTTGGGAGGGTTGGCTAAAAGAAATTCTGCCTCTGCTGTCAAAGACCAACAAACTTAAGCACCTGCACTTTGCCAAATGTCACTGGAACTTTCTGTGGGACCAAAATAGAGCTTTTTGGCAGCAAACACCAGAGGTGGGTTTGGTGTAGACGCAAAGATAGCCATGCAAAAAAGAACCTCATCCTCACTGTGAACAAGGTGGATCTGATGTTTTGGGGCTCTTTTTGTTCCAAAGGCTCTGGACAACTTGTTCGGATACATGGTGTCTTGACACCAACCAATAGAGTATTAGCAGTACTAGCAGATAAAAATCTGACTGCCTCAGAAAGGAAGTGTAGATGGGATAGCGGTTGGATTCTTTTGGCAGGACAATGATCCAAAATGTTAATGATGCAAATGTTGTTAAAATTAACACTGACAAAATGGTTCACTGACCAAAGAATCAAGGTTTTGCCATGGCCAACCCAGTCGATTGACCCAAAACCAATAGAAAGCCTGAAGAATGTCCACATCTGAATGATCTGGAGAGGTTGTGTGATCTACCTAAAGAATCATTCATTCAAAGTATTTATTTAGGTTGAATAAAACTAGTTAATTTACTTGTTATCACATGAAGTATTTTTTTTTCGGTAGATCACAAGTGTGCATATATAGTTATAAAGATGGAAAAAACAATCCAGCCACACTAAATCTTGAATAGTCTTCAAAAACAACCCATTACTGCCCACTTTGTATTTGCCTGTGATGCCAACTTAAAATATATAGTTACATTAACTCAAAATATGCTAAAAATTCTTATTCAAAATGATTGAGTTACCATCTCAACAATTCATTTTTGAGTTAGTTTGACCTTTCCTGCTTAAGTAATCATGCAAATGTAGTCATTATCAGATTTGTGATATTACCACAAAGATGAGTGTTCACTAAAGATTCTAAAATATTAGCTAAGCATCACAGTTTTTTTTAGTCTTTGATGCCTCTCCTCCTTTGTATAGGGGAACAATATGCACCAATTTCCAGGTATTGGGAATTCTGCATGATAAAATAGAAAGATAAAACAGGTACATAGTATGTACAGTGCTGCTTGAAAGTTTGTGAATTTAGCATTATGTGAATTACTACACAAATGTGGCCTATAATGTTATCAGATCTTCATTTAAATTATAGCAATAAATAAAGAAAGCCCAGCAAGACAAGTAACACAAACAAGTATATAGGTTTTCATTCATTTATTGAACAAAGTGAACATTCATTTTAACATTTCAGCGTCTTTGTTGGCAAAAGTATGTGAACCTCTGCTTTCAGTAACTGGTGTGAGCCCCTTGAGCAGCAGTGACTTTAACCTGTAACTGTTGATCAGCCCTGCACGCTGACTTGGCCAACTCCTTTTAACAGAAAAGCTTTAACTGTTACGTTGTTGGATGGACACCACATTTTAGCTACTGCCACAACATTTCTGTTTGATTAAGGTCTGGACTTTGAGCCAGCCATTTCAAAATTTCTTCTGCTTCAGCCATTCTTTGTAGACAAACGTGTTGTTAGGGTCACTGTCTTCTGCAGGACCCACCTTGTGTTGAGGTTCAGATGGATGCCCTGACATTCTCCTGTAAAATGTCTTGATAAAATCCAGATATCATAGCTCCACGAAATGGCAAGGTGTCCTTATCCAACAGCAGCAAAACAGCCCCAAACCGTGATACTGCCACCACCGTGTTTCACAGTTGGGATGAAGTTCTCATGCTGGAATGCAATGTTCAGTTTTTGCCAAACATAACATTTCTCATTTAAGCCATAAAGTTCTATTTGACCTTCTCTGTCCACATTATTTCAGTAACACTCTGGCTCCTACAGGTGGTTTTTAGGGAACTTTAAACAGGCAGCAATGTTCTTCATGGGAAGTTGTGGCTTTCTCCATGTTATCATTACATACATACTTTTCTTGTTCAGTGTTTGCCTGCTGCTGGACTCTAATAACACTGACATCAGCCAGTGTAAAAGAGGCCTACAGATCCCTAGATATTACCCTGGGGTGTGATATCCCAGAATGTTATACACCTTAGTTTTTGAGCCATTTTTGTTGGATGACCACTTCTGGGAAGCGTAATGGTGGTATTGCAGTGTAAAACATGTAATGAAACTGCAAAGTCAGATTTTAAGACCAGATCAGTATATTTCTTTATGATGCAAAGACAAAGACCCATGAACGACTTACAGATAAAAACAGGACTGTGTGCCTGGTTGTTTTTAGTCAGCTTTTTCAGTTATGTTGAAGTTTAATGCAGTGAAGAGTCATGTTCTAGCAAGATAGAGCTGTCTCAATCAACTATACTAAGCTCCATTTGTAAAATTTTATCAAATCTTTAGCTTTAAAAGCTTTAAAAAAATAATCTCTGAAGTGTCATATTAGTATATTAATGACATCATCTGCATTCATCAATTAGGACTAACAAAAAGCACCATTGTTTGCAGGTTTATGTTACTATATACAGAGTTATAGCCAACAGAATTCTGAATGTCATCCACTGTGCCTTGCAGCATTAAAGAAAACTTTAGAACACAGCTCAAAAAGGACATTTTCACACTACAATTGCCATTATGAGGAAATAGCGACAAAGACAAAAAACATCTGGTTAGCTCATTCATTTCAAAACATTGAAGTCAGACACTTCACAAATTCTCTTGAGGACTTTCCTCATATGTCAGACAGTGATGTAGATCAATTTATAAAAGAATACACACATCCCAAGAATTAAGGATACATGCTGTTCTTCGAAAATTACATTTTTGACTTTCAAAGAAAGTTAATTTAACATAGCCAGCTAACTTAGCTATTCTGACCAATAATTGTTGGCTTGTTTTAAGATATGTATATTTAATATATTACTGTTTATGTGTACATGTAGTTTCAAATGTTGTGAATGATGAGATGATAGTGGGGACCAGATCATATAGACCAAACAACAACACTGACAAAGTACAGGTTTGACACAGTTATGGCTAGGAACGAAGAGATAGCTGCGGCTGCAGCGTTATTGTACAGAGTTGGCTTATCAAAGACTTCAGCTACTAGCACTAACCAACAAATGAGTTTAATTCTGTGGCTACAGTGCTTTGTTAGGCCAAGCTTTTGCAATATCAGTAAACTGTTAGACTTTGAACTTCTGACGAAGCTGAAAGCTGCTTCTTATTCAAATATTCTGTTCCACCTTTAATGGTGCTGCAGTTCCACCTTTAATGGTGGCCCTCTACCCTTCAAATTGACTGAATCAACTTGAACTTGTGCTTGGTCAGAAATGTATGAAATCCCAGGTATGACTGTTTTTGTTTGGAGTTGTGGCACTGAAGAACACAGTAAAATGCCTTCAAGCTGGACTGTGCCATTTATTTTGGTTCAACTGAAAACGAAATTACCTGCTAACAGAAGCCGACTTAAGTACGAATGTGGACATGTGAAAAGGGCCTATGCTGCTAGATATTTGAACAACTCACTTGCGTTAACATAAACAGTGGTTGCCAATGCAATAAACTGAAATAACTGATAAGTGATTGTTATACGACCGGTCCAAAAACCAAAAGTGAAAGTGAGAGAGTAAATCACGTGACGAGAATGACAGAGTAGAAAGGAGTGCTTGCAAAGAAATAGGTTGATGATGTGAGGAGGGTGGGAGGGTGAGGGAAAACATGCTATATCATTGATTTGTATCACTTTCCCTGCCTCAGGTACAAACTGATGTAGCTAAACAGGTGTGAGAGTTGTACAAGAGGAATAGCTGTCACACAATTATTGTAGTCTGTTTAGTGGTTAAGGTTATCAAGGTCTGTTAAGGTTGTTGCAGTAAGTCAGTTGGTCTACACGACAGCTAAAAATGGAAAAACCTGAACTTGCTGTGCTGATTGATTTTGGGGGAGATGGAAGTTATTGCTACCCTGGAAAAAGAAGAGACTGATAAAAGAAACACGCTTCTATATCTGCAAAGCATTCAACAGCAAAGATGATGTATGCATCTCAAACTCAAGCACACCATGCAACCAAACAAAGTGCAAAAAGGTAATCTAAATTTAAGTACACCACAGCTGCTCATCATTAGATTTACCTTCAAGTTGAAGGAAGATCTCACAGCTGAAGATAAAGAAATGTCTAAAAGAAATCATCTGTGGCCATTAGTGGAGCAGGCAAGGAAAGGAGGAGAGAAAGCCTACTTTGTTGGCAAAAAACATTTGGGGAAGGTAAAGAGATTAATGTAGAATACATATCTGTTAATACTGATTTTTTGGTGAGACAGGAATGTTACCATCGATAATGCCAAAATGTGACATTGTAATTAAATTAAGCTCCCCGGCCAAAAAATTAGTCACCTTGTGTGTTTAAGGTAGTAACTTCAGAGTTTGCAGGAGGATGATCGGGCTATAAATACCTTCGGGGTTTACAACTGGATTCATAGATTGAGAAGAGGTGGTACAGTGCAGTGAATATCTTGTTCGATGTGTGGAAAATGGGTCGCAAAGCAGATGTTAATTATTGGCAAAAAGGATTGAAGGAAGTAGCTGAATTTGCACGTTTATCGAAGCGTACAGTCATACAGGTCTACCTGCAGGGTCAAAAATCCCAGTCTACAGGAAATTCTTGTCAGAATTGTGGCCGAAAGACAAAACTGATGGACAGGGACCGCCGGCATGTTTCACGTAAAGTAAAAATCGAGTAAAAATCGATTTGCTACAAGAATTGCTTCTAGAAGTCAACACAGGTCCTTCACAACCAATTCCTAAAAAAAACACTCCGCAGGGAACTGCATACCATGAACATATGGAGCAGAGTGGCACGCAAGAGGCCTTTGCTCACTACTGCTCACAAAGTCGCCCAGTTACAGTGGGCAAAGAGACACAAAAATTGGACTGTTTATGACTGGAAACGTGTTATCTGGTCAGATGAATCTCGTTTCTGCCTCT